CCCGGAGCGGGGGGGGTCGCCACGGGCGGCCCCCGGGGGCATGCAGGGGGTGGCTGTGCATGCAGGGTGCTGCCGGCCCGGCCCCGCGAGCCTGACCTGAAGCTGCCACCTTTTTCTTGCAGCCACGTGAGAAGGGGCGGATGCGTTTCCACCGGCTGCAGAACGTGCAGATCGCCCTGGATTTCCTGAAGCAGCGACAGGTAAGGGCTGATTTAGGCTCATCCAGAAGCAGAGCTGGGGGGTTTGTGGGTCTGTCTCCTGGCTGGGGCTTGGGAAGCGTCAAGAAGCAGCATCGGCCCGTGCCAGGGTGTACCCGTCCCTGCGGTGCTGGGGCTGGTTGGGGACTGCTGTCAGGGGACTTTTCCCCGTAGGCGTTGTGTGCTCTCAGAACCACCCATGCAGGATCCGAATGATGGATCAGACTCCAGTTCTGGGAAGGGGTTTGCAAATGTCACAGGCAGAGGCACTTCGGCACCCCAAAAGCCTCACCCAGGGCTCCCTGGCGGATCCCGGCAGCGGGGACAGGAGGCTATGGCATGTCCCTGCCTTCCTCCCAGCTTCAGGGGAGATGGGGCTGTTGGCTCCGGCTCAGCCCCACGCAGTTGTGGCCTCGGTGCTGGCACAGCCGGGTGCCTCTGTGCGGCATCACCCCTCCGGACGGCCGGAGTCCTCCCTGGGCAGCATCTTGGCTTTTGGAGGACAGGCTCCCTCCACCGAGCTTTTGGGAGGTGCCTGTGCAACTGGCAGAGACCAGGCATCCTCCGCACCCCCCGGGCAGATCCCAGTCGGAGCAGTGGGATGCATCCCAAGACTTGTTGGCTCTGCAGGTGAAACCCCCGCAGCCCCGGGGCCGGGTGTCCTGTTCCGCCTGTTGGGTCAGGTCTCCCCGCCGCGATGCTCCTCAGATACGCCAGGACGATGATAAATTGTACCAGTTCATGCTGAAGCAGACATTTTTCTCTCTCTGCTGGCCTGAGGGCACGGAATAAATTTGAGTGCCCCACTCCAGGGAGGGTGAGGCGCTTCCAGCCCCTCCCCTCCTCCTCCCCAGCGCCTTGATAGAGACATTTTGCCGGGGGCTCTTGGGAACTTGTTTCTCTACTTGGATGAAACAGCTTTTTCCTTTGAAGCGTGATGGCTTGGTGACAAGAGGCCTCGCTGGGACGTCTTACCCCAGATGCTCCTGCTAGAGATTGTGTGGTCCCATTGAGTGTTGGGGAGCAGGGACACCCCCATGGGGAGCCCGCCGGGGGAGAAGAACCCAAAGGACGTGGCAGCTCCTGGGAAGACGGCTGCAAGGAGAGCAGGAGCAGCAGCCGGGCAGCACCGCTCTGGTTTGCATCTGCTGGAAGCGCCAAGGCTGGTGCCTCCGGTGCTGCAGGCATCTCCACGGGGTTCAGGGACCGCACATGCATTGAAACCACCGCTAGAGCAAAGCAGCCGGCAGGGAGCTGCGTGGGGCTGGGGTCTGCCGGCACGAGGGCTTTCGGCTGGTGCTGGGGACAGACCCTCAGCGAGGGCAGCAGCAGCACTTCTGCCTTTGTTAGGGCTGATTGATTAGCAGCGTGGTTTTGAACCCAGGAGGGAGTTAATAAAGCTCGGCCATCCTCTTTTACCCATGCTCTGTGGTCTGGAGCTATTAAATTATGCACTAGTGCTCAGGGCTTTGGGGATGAGGCACTTCACCATGTGAGCCGAAATAAAGCAGTTAAGTGCTGGGAAAGCACTTCTGGATAGAGAGTGCTGGAGACATGGAAAATCCATCCCCATTCCCGAGCAGGGGCGTGGGGTGGCCTCGCTGCCTCTTCGGGAAGCGCTGGAGTCTTGCGTGTCCGCTCCCCGCTGAGGTGCTTGGGGTGGCCCTGGGGACAAGCGTGGCCAGGGACGCGTCCCCCCACGCTCTCGGTGGGTGAGGCTGACAGGGAGCTCTGACCCTGATGTTTCTCTTTCAGGTGAAACTGGTGAACATTCGCAACGATGACATTACGGACGGCAACCCCAAGCTCACCCTGGGGCTCATATGGACGATCATCCTCCACTTCCAGGTAGGTCATGGGAGTTTCTTGCTGAAAGGACATGGGGCAGGCGGCGGCAGCACGTTGTCTCCCCAGGGCGCTGGTGTCTGTCTCTGCGTGCGCGTGTTTCGTGGCGATGCCGGCACCACGCGGATCGGTCCAGAGGATCAACACCCATGGCAGTGTCATGGAGACGGGTGGCGGGGAATAGCAACGCCCTTTTCTCATCATTTACATAACGTGATCATTAACGATGGGCTGCGTGTGGTGGCCTCCCGGTTGGCACCAGGGTTGTTGGCGGTAGCTGTTTGCTCAGCTGAGTCCCTGAAGGAGAAAAGCAAATTCGGAGGGGGCCGCAGTGGGGACAGGCTGAGTAGGGCGGTTATCCCGAGGTGCTCCCGGCCCTTTGGGAGGTTGGCGCAGCCACGGGATCCTTCATTGGAGTGGAAAATGTCAGCTGCGTGACAGTGGTTCGGGATAGGGATGGGAGAAGCTCTCTGACCCAGCTGGGGTGCTGGGGAGCGCACTTAGGACCGTCTGCAGCAATCGTGTCCTATAGATGCTCTTGCAAAACAGGGTCTCTGGTCTTTAATAGCCTCAAATTATCCGGCTGTAGCTTTGATGCCCTCAGGGGGACGGCGTGTGGCCCCTAATGCCACCGCTGAGGGGTTTGCAGGGTGGTGCTGCTGCCATTAGCTGGTGACATTAGCTCTGGGGTCCATCACGGCCATGGGACCGAGCCCCTGGGAGCTGCTGTGTCCTGCCTCCCTGCCGTATCCCTGCTGGCATCTCTCAGATGAGACCAGCGCTGGCGTTGAGACGTCGTAAGGGAGCTTTTGGGTTTTGGAGGAGGAGTGGGCAATGCCCCGGGGAGCTGCCACCTCGCCCCGTGCCGGCGTGGCCAGGCTGGCCCCGTGTGCCGGGTGAGCCCCTCCTGACCTGTATTTCTTAGGAAGAGGCTTTTGGGGGGAACGTGGGGATAAATGGGGTGTAAGGCTGCTGATGAGGCGCGCTGCCGGTGTTTTGGCCCTGGGAAGCAGCCAGGGTCGAGCAGGGTCTGGATGCTGATGAGTCACTGTCGTCTCCGGTGGGGCCCTGGCTGGTGCCGTCCTGTCCCCGCTGTCCTCGGGGTGGCCCTGCCCTGGGGCGTGCTCTGCCGCAGGGGACCGGAGAGGGGATGGCGGGGGCCAGGCCGGGGCTCACGCCTCCCCTCCGCGCCCAGCTGGGAGGGGACGCTGCCACCCTGCTGGGGGGGACCGGGGGGGTGACCGGGGAGCTGGGCTGGCTCCGGCGAGCCTGCGTGTCCTCTCCCCGCCTGCGCTAACGGGATTTTTTCTGCGGTTGTAGCTCCATTGTGAATCTCTTAATCTCCCGAGTCCCAGCGCCGCTGCCTGGGGGCAGGCGGCTGGGAGAGCCCTGGGGAGGGGTTCGGGCTGTGCCAGTGGCCCCTGCTCCCTGTTTTCTGTCTCATCCCTGCTTTTGGCATGTGTTACCCTTCTCCGGTTTCTCCGAGGTGGTGAGAGGAGTCGGGATGCTGGATGCTCCTCAACCCCCTGTCCTTGGCAGCGTTTGGGGCAGGAGACGTGGGGCTGGGCTGGGACGGGAGCATCGGTGCTGTCGTAGCCGCTTGGAACCCCGCAGCCCCAGCTCCCTGAAGTGATGCCGGCTCCCCCGGGCCCCCTGGGCCGGCCCTCC